ACACGATTTGCACGACAAACAAAAATGGACGTAAAGCGTGAAGTGCATATAAAAAAAACATAATATAGATGTTGCTTTACAACGCTACGATGAAAAGTATAATTGCACTTTATTATAAATCATTTCAAGGTCCCCTTAATCATTGCTGCATTGTTTCGTTTCCTAATTCTAAAACGAACGCATTTATGAATAATTATTTGTCGGACTAGCGTATCGTCATAAAAATTTGGAAAGTTCATATGTGAAAATCTAATTATTTATATTAACTTTAATCATCCTGAGCTTTTATATTAGCAATCCCTCGTTCACAAAATTGCCCTAAACTTAAGCAATATAGTAATAACATGCTCGTATGGATATAATTCTTATTTATACATATATGTATATATATATATATCTCTCTCTTCTATATATATTTTTTTGTTTTGTTAATATAGAGAACCTTACTTTATACGTATAACAGGCTCTTAATTCGAAGCTGCAAAGGGACTCGATAACATCTAATCCATTTTTATAATACAAATGTGCGTTACTTTCCTTCAACACACGTATTATTCAAACTTTTATAAAACTGCAGTTTCTTAAGATCTATTAAGCGAAAACCATATAGCGGCGCTTATATAGCTTTTTTACAGCTCAATGATAGTAAACTTCAGTTTTTCGACGTCACTTTGCAGCTATTAATACAATACTTTATTTCCAAAGCACGATAGATCTAGTAAAATTTAGATAACAAAAAATATAGTATTTTACAGTACATTACATTACATGATTAGTCTTAAATAAACTGTTATCTGCATACAGGATGCATGCACATAGGTTTGTCCATGGCAACGCTAAAACTAGATCACTCTTCCCGAAGAACAGATAAACATTTCTTGAGCAATTCCGCGTGCGACTGCGAACATAACGTAAATAATACATTTTTGATATCTATGCTGCCAAAGTTTGAGCACACAACTTAAAAAAAATAAAATAAGAGCATTACACTCACTTTAGCGTGTTTTATTTCCAGCTCTGTTAGCTCAATGAGATTTTTCTTAAATGCAGCTACTCGCCTAGTTTTGAAATCCAATAATTCTAAAAAATCGTTATAAATATTAATAAAAATATCTTAAATAGATTATTCAGAAAATAATTAATATCATTCTGTAAATTTATAGCAAACGTTATATACTCATAAAATGGAAAATAATATTATTATATTGCTGTATGCTATTTCTCTATTACAAAATGATATTGAGTACATCCAAGTAAATGACATGTTGTATTTTTACTTACCTTCCTTTCCTTTATCAGACATTTGTTCAAATTTCTCACATGCTTCAGTCTGTGCTTGCTCCGCCTTGATCGATAAAAAACAGAAATTTAAAATATTAAAATATTAAATACACACATTTTTGTCTAAAACTTTCGATGCAATTATATAACGAAATAGTTGCATATTCATCAGCAAAACTTATATCATCTCTATAAAAGTGTTATCAGATCATAAATCATCTAAATTATCAAGACAATATTCAATACTGCATGCAACTGTCATTCATGCACAATACTTCTGATAAATTCCGTGCTGCAGCAACTAACTTGTGCCAATCTCCTTGTTTAAAAAACGTATATCTCCATAAATATATTTTACTATTAACAACTATGTAAGCATATCTATGTATATAAAAAAGAAGAAATCTCGCAATATTTTTATCTATATTTTTTCCCGATAAAGAAATTGTAAAATTAATCTTTCTAATATTCTTTAAAAAAACTTATATCAAATTCATAATATTCTATAAATATAAAATTCTAAAATATTTTTCTTTACCTATATAATAGTAACTAAATCTTGATTTTAATTAATCAAGTTTTGATAATCTATCCACTTAATAGAAAGGTTGGCAATAAGATCTAATACTTTTTAAGCACTACAACGGAAAATATATGTAGGACACAAATAACATGACACACCTCAGCAACCTCCAGTGCCTTGAAAAGCAAGAAAAATTAAAGTTCTGATTAGATGCTACTCATGACCATAAATTGTTTATAGTATCTAATAACTGCAGTTTCAGTTTAGTCGTCATGAGATTAATTTAAATAAGTATTCATTTTCTCTATTTCCCTCGTCCTACATTTCTGTATGCTATTTCGTTGTGATAAATTAGCTGAGGATATTATTAGATTATAAATATTAAATTTGCGAATTGTACAAAAATATGCACTTACTGCATGAACATCTTTGTTTTTGGCACGAGCTTTTTCAAGAGCACGATTCGCAGACTCGTACTCGTGTAAAGCTTTCAATCTTCTAAAAAGAAGCCTCTTAGCCGCGGCTGTATCTCTCATATAATAACGAAGGGTATCTGATAATTTTAAATCTTCATCCGACGCTACCCGCCCTTCAACTTTCTGTAAAAGGAAAAAGCATTTTTATAATGGATTTTCTTTGATTAAAATAAAATTTTGAGAAAGCTACAAAGTGTTCTTACTCGTAACTTCTCGAAGGTTTCGGCAATTTTAGTTAAGAATCTCTCGAGTTTTCCATTATCTGTTGTAGCTAATTGTAAGAGATTGGTGGAAATCTTTATATACGAATCCGCTACGTCTTTGTGTTTAGCTGTTTGACGATCAGCCAATCTCGTTGCTTCTTTTAAATTATGATGGTAAGTTTGAAGGAATGTCATTTCTTGATCGAAGAAGTCGTTCACATCTTTCACTGTAGCCGATAAGTAATATTCGTCAGTAGTTTTGGAGAACGACTTCACTAAACCGCCGAACATTTCCATCTTATTCTTTCCTGCAAAACAGCGAAGAAAACGTATGTTCTGTAACTATCTTAATTTCTATGTATATTGTAATATTGTGTACAGCAAAAACCTTACCTCGCACACAAAGATCTTGATCGTATTCTAAGAAGACCCTCAAATTATGATCATTCCGAAAAACTGGATGATGTGCCAACCTGGTCAAGAACATTTCGTGCATAGCAACAGTTTTTTTGAACGTGGCTAAATATTCTCTGCAAAAACAACGTAACAAAATTAGATCCTGTCAAATATATAATATTTACACATAAAAATACTCACGCTTCTAGTTCTTGTTTCATTTTATTAAATTCTTCGCGTGTCATATTTCCTTCACCTTCGCCAAGTTTTTGTAACTTCTCACGAGATGCATCAAAATCTGGCCTTGGTGGACATGGTGGAATCTATTATAATAGTATCGGCATTTAGAATAACATATGAGTTAACCGTTTAAATATCAAAGTGTAATAGTTTCTTTCCAGTTTCATTGAAAAATGTCATTGAACATAATGACTTCACAATGATTGTTCTACATTTTGTCAAACAATTGTCGACAAATGCCTTTTAATTGATTAGACATTGTTACTTAACATTTTAGAATAATGATTAATAATAGCTAATTAAATCCCGACAATTGTCATAGAAACAGAATCAATAATGAATCTATGTCAGTCTGGTATTTTTCCCATAGATTCCTGCAAATGTGTCTGGCATTCGAAAACGGTAAAATATCCATTAGAAACAATAAGTCAGAATAACATAAAGATTCCACACATACGATGTAACCAGCGTACTCCTCATTCTCCTCAAATCGATCGTGGAGCCACACAAACTCTTCGTGCTGTCTCACAACCAGATTGTCCGGCTTTTGAAATTCAGGTAGAGTGGTTTTCGTATGTACAGTGAATTTGACTTTGTCCTTCTCGCTGAGAGCGTCTGAGATATCCACTTGCAGGGACTTATCCGAGAGGTCTATCGTATCAGCGTGGATTGTCTGAAAGGGCAGACCCCATTAGCAGACACGGTGGCACCGAGCTGTCACCGAGAATGCGACAACAATGGGGGGAGAAGGGGGGGCGAGGGGGACGTGCAGGGCAATCACGATACCATAATGCGTGTTATGAGTGTTATCAAGCGGGAGCCACAGAAGGAGGAAACTAAACACGATAGGAGAGAGAGAGAGAAACGCTATAAATACCTTCTTGGCAGGCACGCTATTTAAAATGTCGGTGGTGTCACATATTCCGTCCTGCAACATTTTTCGTATTAGACAGCGCGCGAGATGCGTTCGAAGGGGGAGCGGACTTTGCGGGCGATTCCGCGCCGATCGAACGCGTCAGACGAGCGGACCGCCGGTCACCGATTGATAACAGGTTCCACCTACCATCATGGCGTCGACTGGCGTCGTCCCCTTGACACACAGTGGTTAACGGCAACTTGATTAACAGGATCGTCCCGTCTAAATAACGTATGTACAACTGTCGCGCAGCGAACAAACCGATCGGAGCCGAACGTCGGAGCTCGAGTGCCTCGAATGGTCTTTGATGCGCTGGATCGAAGGACGGACCGAACTTCCACGATATCAACCATCGGAACGAGCGCCTCTGGTGGACATGGGATCGAGTTAAATCAATATGGCGTCTCTTTGCGGTTAAATTTCGAATAATTTTGTCCGGAATAATTTGTACATCGCGAAATACAGCTACGAGAAGTTATCGGTGCTGGATCAATTTTATGTTTTATTTTATTTGTCTTCCACGCCGGTAATCTACACCAGCGTTGATTATCATATTTGTAAAATAAAATGTATTTCATAATAATTAATTATAAGAAACTAAAAAGTCATTGCTATAAAGAAGATCAAGGCTTAAAATATAAAATTGTTTGATTGCACCGACACGAAGGGGATACAATTTTTTTCCATTTTTAAGCCCTGTGTCATTAACAAATCACATTTGAACAAATTCGCCAATTGATCGATGCGATTGGCCTGCATCTCATTCTCGGATATCTCGGAGCGATTTCTGGCATCGTAGATACAAGGCTTTACATTCTTTTACAAGATGTTTAGCAAAACAATATGTGGGAATAGAGTGATTAACATTTACGTTTTTGTTTATCAATTAAATAAAGCTGACATTGGCTGACATAATTCACTGGTGTCATCTGTGTCTCTTTCCAGAAAGCACGACATCAACGACGATACTAGCGCACTCTAAAGATACAGGGCTAGCGTAACCTGCGTAACAAGGATAAATTTAACCGCCATTTGAGTTTGTTTTGCTGGCAGGCGACGGTGTGCAAAGCGAAATTTTGTAAATTTAGAAGCGTTTAATAGTGATTCTTTAACAGTAATCTTTGCTGCATCTCGTTTAGTGCTCGTGTTGCGTTATATTCTATCACGGACATGGCAGTGCAACCTAACCAACAGTTTAACATGGGTATATATTAGGTGTTTTATTTAACCATAATCTAACTTCTGTTATTTCAATATAATCATTTATTTCAGATCCTCCTACGCAGCAGAGCTTTGTCAGATTTTTTAAAAATCTCCCAGAGGTTAGTAATCAAATGATTGTTTACATCACATATGAATACACATACGTTAAAATTCATTTCTTATAATTATTCTTCTAATTATGATTGCATATCTTTATGTTAGTTTATTAATACTTTAAATACTTTTTTAAATGATTTTTTGTTTAATTTATAGAAAAATGATATATTAATATTGTCTTTTGCTCATAAATTATATCGAAATATATTAGAAGGAAAATTATAGCTATTATACGTTATTTTTAATAACTGAAGTAAAATCATTTATACATTGTTGCATTGTTCATATAATTGTCGTATAATATCTGAAACAGACTATTATGATGGCAAAAGACTATTATGATTTTTCAGAATTTCTATAGAAAATTTGGCAATTTTTTTCCTTGTGTAATTTTATACTCCACAATATTTATATCGAAGGAATGACTATATTTGATACATAAATATGGATTTGTAAACATCATTTTTACAAGTCAATATTTGATGTGATTCTATTAATCTATAATAGATCTAAGAAATAAAGTAGGTATTTTATATTTTAAATAAAAATCAATGATATAAAGATGATTATCAGAATTTATATTAAATATTTTTTTAATCTTCTGAAAAATGGTTATAAAAGACAGCTGATTCTTCAAGATTACATTAAATATTTCATTTTATTAAAAATGTTTTGTTAGTAGTTTAATTTATTATCGATATCTTTATTAAGAATAAAAGTTAAGGAAAATGGAAGTAATTATTTGTCCAATTCCAGCAGACTTTACTTTTATTTATATTTTGAACCATTAATGAAATAGTAATATTTTATGAAAACAATTGATATTATGTAAATAAACATTTATGTAAAGATGTAAATGCAGTGACAATTTTTCTATATGTGTACACAAAAATAGACACAACATTTCTATTAGAAAAGAAAATATACATTTTTATTTATATAAAAAATGGAAATTCATAGTTTTACAATGGTAAAGTTTTATAATACTAATTCAGAATATTTCTTAAAGTTGTGAATTCATGATATATCATATATGTTTATGAGTTTCATTTTTAATTTGTCTTGATTTTATCGGTTATATTTAATTGCAAATACGGATACATTATTTATAAATAAATGTAATAATTCAATACATGTTGCTAGATATCCCAATTTAAAGTGTGAAAGAAAATTTATCGTGCATAAATAAGTAACTCCTTAAATAAGTAGCATATGATATCTAGCCGAAAATCTCCTTAGCTTTTTCCTTAGCTTTATCGTAAGTGTTGGTTATTTTATGCCCAACTCTGCTCCAGAAGGATGGCTGAGTTGTCGTCTCTGCTGTTGGTGTAATTTCTGTTGTAGTTACAATTTCTGGTGTATTGCGCACTGTGGACCAGATCCGTGGTATTACTGTTCCCCTTGGTTTTTCTCTGATATCCCATGGATCATCACCATCCATAGGTGGCAGAGTAGCACTGGGATTCGGTTTAATTCTAGTATAAAAATCATCATTACGCGACGCATCATATGACCCTCCGTACGCTTGTAAGATTCGTGACTCTGGGTTATCTTCCGTTTGTTCTGTAGTTGGCGTCTCTTGTTCTGCAGTCAGATGGGCATTTTCGTGACGTTGCAACGGAATTACTCTTGATGCGATTCGATCAGAATCTTGATTGTCAAAGCGGGAAAACGTTTCAGTTTGTTGAAACGATCCTGACTGTTGATCATATTTGTCATGTTGCGATGATTGAGGAGCGTATGAATTTTGGTGACTATTCTCTAATATATCCTCGTTTTGTGCTTGTTGATTAAAATCAAATGGCCTGGACCGTTGGATATCTTCTGTTTGCTGCGACATCGAGTTGACATCATGGCGAGAATAATAATTGTCAGGTGAGCCTTCGACGTTAGTTAAGTCACTTGGATGGTAAGTGTAATGCCATTGCAAACCTATTGTAGCATCATTTGATTTATGTACCGAATGTGTACGATCTATGGTTTCTCCTTGATTATCAAATACGTTGCTTCCTTGAGTCGAATACGAAACTTTCGATGTATGCTGATCGGATCCAGGATATGTTGCGCGACTGCCAGATACGATAATTCTTCCGTGGGAGTTGTCTATATCAGGCTCTGGGTTTACCTCAACTGGTTTAAAAACGTCGTCGACAATTGTGTCTGTTCCATCTGTACGTGGTGTAATGAAATCATGTTTCTGATATCGCGGTCTTGGTTTTGGCTTTGGTGCTGGCTTTGCATTGGTTGCTAATTGATCTTGATCGGTTCGTTGAGTAAAATCTCGATCAAAATTTGTTTTTTGCGACATTTGTTCTAATTGCCATTCGGATTGTTCGATATTTTTATTATCGTAGGATGGATATTGACGCGATTGTTGCGAATGACTGTCCGTATCCCACTCATTTTGTTGTGAATGTTCCATATGCTGAGTATAATGTCCCGGCCATCTAGGTTTTTGCTGTTGTTCACTTTGTTGTCCATATTCAAAATGTCCTGCTGTTTGTTGCGAGAAATCATCGAATCTTCCAACATGTTGAGTTAGGTCTTCATTCTGCTGAGTGAAATCTTCCAAATGATGATTACCAACATTGGGTTCACTAAATCTGTGCGGTTGTTGCAGTCGTCCAAATTCTAGGTGTCCCATTGTTTGTTGCGTAAAATCATTAAATCTTCCCGTCTGTTGAGTGAAATCTTCACTTTGCTCATTGAATTCTTCTAGACGTTGACTTTTCGGAAGTTGACCTACTGTCTGCTGTGTAAACTGTTCGCTCTGTTGTGTTAAATCGTCTAAATGTTCATTACCAACAGTTTGCTGTCCCAATTCACGTTTACCTAATTGAGTTTGTTGCGTTAAATTATCCGATATTGTTCGCTGTGCAGATTTCTCTAATTGTTGAGAATCATCAATTTGTTGCCCAAATTCAAGTTTACCGCTTGTCTGTTGTGTAAAATCATCAGATCCTTGTGTCTGCTGCATTAAATTGTCTATATGCTGATTATCAATGGTTTGTTGGCCAAATTCCAGCTGACCCTGCGTCTGCTGCGTGAATTGTTCACTTTGCTGCGTTAAATCATCCAAATGCTGGCCATCGACGGTTTGTTGACCGAATTCCAATTTGTCACTCATTTGTTGTGTGAGATGATCAAGTCCTTGTGTCTGTTGTGTAAACTGTTCATTCTGCTGCGATAAATCTTCTAAATGCGGATTATCGACAGTTTGCTGACCAAATTCCAGCTGACCCTGCGTCTGCTGCGTGAATTGTTCACTTTGCTGCGTTAAGTCCTCCAAGTGCGGATTATCGACAGTTTGCTGGCCAAATTCAAACTGACCCTCCGTTTGTTGCGTGTGTTGTTCACTTTGCTGCGCTAAATCATCAAAATGCTGATTATCAACGATTTGCTGGCCGAACTCAAGCTTACCATTCGTTTGTTCACTTTGCTGTGTCAAGTCTTCCAGTTGTTGCGTCTCTTGACCGAACTCTTGATTTTGCTGCGTGAAATCCTCGTTGTCGATTGCTTGATGTTGCTGCACGTCACCGTGATGAGCGTCTCTTTTGTATTTTCTGTGGTATTTGGTTTCATGTTGATAATGCTGGTGAGTCTCCTCGGTGCAATCGGCGCCGTGCGCCGCGTGGCCCAAGTCCAGCGATCCGGTAACGAGTTGCCCTGAGCTCTCTCTGTATGCAGAGTCATAACTGCTACCACTAGTACGCGCACGGGACTCGTATCCCTGATGAGCGGTATTATAACGTCCACGATGCTCGTTGTACGCGTCCCGATCGTAATGCGCTCTTTCTGCATGACCAACAGTACCAGCACCATGCCCGGAATAATCCGCAACGCCCATGGTAGTCCGCTCAGGAACTACACTGCCTCCGGTGTGACTGGAGGATCTCCAGTGCTCCTCGTAGCGCCTCGTTTCACCTTGTCTGCTGGGATAAGTGACGTGACTTAAATGCGGGTTGTGCTGCGAGGGCTCGGCGAGCACCTGATTCTGAATCCTAAGCGTTTGCGCGCGCGCCTCCGTCTCGTCCAGATGATGTCCACTCGAATGCACATTGTGATAGTTCGTCTGGTAACTGCCTCTAGGAACCTGCACGTAACCGGGAGATAAGTGACTTGACTGAGGCACCGGGTGTACTTGGGACGTGTGGGTTTCTTGGCTCTGATAAGTTCTATGACTTTCCGTGCCATATGTATTTGCGGCCGCGGTAGGATACGTGTACGAGGGCACATGCTGCCTAACATCGGTGAGCGTTTCTCTCTGCTGCTGATCGGTATAGTGACGTACACTTCCGGTGGACGGAACGCCATGATAGCCCGAATGTTGCCTGTAACCGTCGCTCTCGGCGGTCTGCAGATCATGGAAACCAGCTGTATCCTGAGTCAAGCCCACCTGAGTCGAACCTACGTGTGTGGTAGCGGCAGTGTGTCCGGTGCTAGAGACTTGGTGTAAATTCTTTCTGATGCTGTCGAGATCTTTCTGCAGTTCGCTGTGTAGTTCGTCCAACGTCGCCGAGCCAACGCTGCTTTGAGGAACGCTGCTTTGAGGAATGCTGGAGCTGTAGCTGGAGGTGTAGTTTTTTTTGTAATAGCGAACCTTCTTAGGCCCGGTTACATATTGACCTTCCTCCTCGAAGACGTGTCCACGACCTCCGTCGGTCCTGTAAGAGTCCACTCTGTTCCAATTGTTCCCGGGAGCTGCTTCGACATGATGCTGCGTATCGTATTCCCCAAAATCTTCCAGCCTCTCGCTCTTGCTGTCAATTCTTGCTGACAATGATTGCGACTGTTGGCTGTGCATCCTATTGTATCCGGTCTCCTTTGTGACTGTTTGTCCTAGACCGTATGCGCTTTGATCGATATGCTGGTTTGTCGGCACGTGTAGCGACTCATATCTGCGTTGGCCACTCAATTCGCCTAATTCTGCTGTGTCTATTCCGTTTAAATTACCCGTACCATAGGACGAGGTAAAATTCTTCTTGAAATCCCTGACTCTTTTCGCTCCTTCTACGTATTGCCCTCGTTCTTCGTGAACCTTGCCATGCCCACCGTCTGTGTTATATTGATTACGTTCAGTCCAGTTTCCTGGTCTGGTGTAATCATGCTCATTTAATTGCGTTCTTCCTTGAACGAAATTCGCATGATCTTGAAAACCACCCGACGTTTGCTGAATGCTTGTTTCGAGGAAGTTGCATGTTTCTATACAGCCACTGGTTGGCGCTGATATTGCTTGTTGGGCAATTAACGCGGATAAAATGATTATCCGTCCTATCGCCATTATTCCCATCCGATCTCTATGGAACAGAAATAAATACTTAAATGTTTAAAATATAAGTATAAAATATATTTTTTTGTATCTGTTCTTAAATCCAGAACACAATTTACGTTTCTAGATATTTCAACAAGACGATAACTATCCTAACGATTTTATTAAATTTATTTTTTTTTTATTTAATATTTTTTATGTTTATACAAATAGCACTTTTCACGAATTAACTTTTAAAAACTTTTAAAAGCTCGGATGAATAATACGAAACATTATTTATCTTTTAATTATAAATAAATGGATTTAAGCTTGTATAAATTATATAAATTTATATAAAATATGTACTTAAAATAATGTATTTTCGGCGAAAAGGACCATTATTTCAAACGGAAGTCTTAAAATTATATTTTTATGTTTTGATATCCTTGCGAAAAATATTTTCTATTTTCTGTGCTAACGCAAGTTTATTTTTTTGTTTTGAGAACATTAACTCAGATTTGCTGTTTTGCGAAAGTTATACGTGATGTAACTTATATAAACAGGTTCATCGAAGTTAGCCTTCGATAAACGATAAAGAGGAGATAACACATAAGATATATAATCAAATTTGTAATAATATTGGCCGATTTTTCTCGATCAAAACTATTATTTTTATATTGTAAAGATAAAATAACATAACTTTTTGTCTATCTCTATTTAAAAGTATAAAACCACGAACATTTTAATTTTTTTATTTAGCTTAATTTTCTAGCAAATATGTACATGAAAAATATATGCGGAATGTATTATGTTAAATAAAATAAGACATTTTAAATAATGTAATCTTATTGTCTGCATCTCATTAAAAAGCACTTTTGTCATAACACAAGCAATAGCAAAAAAAAAGGATAAATCTGTATACTTTGTTTATTGATTAATTGTCTCCTATTTTGTCGAATTTAATGCTCACATCGTATTTAAGATCTCGCATTCACTGACAAGACACAACGTTTATTTATACACTTAATTCACATCTGCTATTAGAAAAACTATCATGTTTTACCTTACAATGGAAGATCGAGAAACACTTATAATTTTGTTAATGCAGAGATGTTCTCACTAACACTGTAAGTTCACATATAGCAGAAGATTACCGCAAATCCATTTTATGTTCTTTCCCCCCTTCTTCTTACTGATGACTCTCGGAGCATTCTTTTTCGCTCTTACACATATTAGCGCTCTTTCCTTCTTATCCATCACAGTCCAGACTTGTTCTTATCGCACACAATTCTCAGCAATATAAGATTGGATTCTACCATTGACGTATAAGTGTCAGTAACACATATATTATACTTATATTAATATTGCACTTATTAATTTCTTTTCGTATGTATCCTTGTTATAGATCTTTGTAAAATCGAAATTCCGAATTATATTAGTTCTTTGGAATTCAATAATTTTAAACAAAGTCTATATATGTATACAATAAATGAAGAGGAAAAGAAATTCGGCCAAGGCTAGATGTTGGTTGCCAATAATATTCTTAATTCTTTTTAATCTTTCAATTTTAGCTATTGTAAATTGTGCGCCGATTATTGTCAGTCTTTAAGAACGCAATCATAACTTAATGCTGAAATAATATTACGTATTTATTAAATTGATCTTTATTTTATGATGATATTACAAGCCTACAAGCATCTTAAAATGCTGTAAAGAACTTTCAGCCTTGGCCGAATTTGGCTCTTTTCCTCCTTATTCTTTGGAATTCTTTAAAGCTAAACAGTTTCATTTTACAACATATATTTTTTATTACAAAAGAGTATGTAAGAATAAACGGTATCAGATTTTATTCTTATAAACTTGCTGTTTATAATTCATTAAAATGAATGATATAGAAAGATTCACTGCATCTTGCAGAAAATATATTTCTTTTATAAAAAGGACAAATCTGTTTAAAAATATATATATATATATATATATTTCAATATATATGTAGATGTGCATATAAATGTAGATATACATATATATGGTTAGAAAATAATAGATAAAGATTATCGCTTATAATTGCAAATTGATCATGTTTAAATATAATATTATACTTGAAAAGTATGTTATTATATCTCATTAATCTTCCATTATCTTTCATCTTACATCCTGTTAAAGTTGCACTGCAGCATCTTCTTGATAGATAAATATATATGCATGATGCATTGTCTACTCACGTATGTACGTATATATGCACGGCAACGGACATAACTCAACGACTTCCAGGAGCCGCGACAAGTGGTTTTCCATATTTGATCTGATGTGTCATTGGTTAAGTCATTCTGAATTTGTAACGATGATCGACGAGGCTCGCTTTCATTCAGCTAGGATCAGTGATGCTAGGAGCAATTTCAAGGCCGTTATTACGTAAAGGTCGCGGGTCTTCCAATAACGATTTGTATTCTTGCACTCGCACTCCACCGGAGAACAGTGGTGGACTTTTTATAAATAAAGAAATCTAGAATACAGATTACACAAAGAACAAAAAAAAACGATGGCCCACTTTGTTACAGAAATTACTGACCTTCCTAGAATATGAACTCTGATCTTCTTTTATCATGCTAAGAATGAATGATATTTCCACGATGTGGACCACTTCGTGACCTCAATATATGGATGTCATTGAAACTGTTGGGATTTCCCATCGACAAGTTGACATATATAAAGACGGAAAACATCTGAATATATTCGCACATATTCGAACGAACATATTCTCTTATTAAGATTTGCGTTAAATAAAAGCTGGTTTATTTTTATGAAATATTATTCAATGAATATTGTTATCATATCTTTCATTCTTTTTTCTTTATCTCTCTCATTTGGGCGTCGCACAACGATCTATTATATAGAGAATTCGTTATATATAGTGAAAATAGTTATATATATATATATATATATATATATATATACATTAAAATTTTTATATAAGAAAATATAAATTATTTAAAATTGATTTACTTTATCCTTATAATTCATTTTATGTAATTTTTATATATTATAAGTTTTCAGAACGTTTTCAGTTATTTCCTCAGAATATTTCCAATGCTTCTGGGCAAAGTTATAGAACATTTATTTTCCGTCGAATAAGACGAAAAGAAATTTTGCGAACAAGAGTAGTTATCTGTAAGATTTTGCGGCGCCAGTAAAACGTTTCTTTAAAATCCAAACTTCTATACAAAATCGCACGCATCGGAGTTGTGACGACCTGTGATACTTTGACCCTCGATAGGCATTGACCTACAGATACGTTAGCAAGGTTTTTAATTTCTCGGAAATATGAAATATATGACGGTTCTTCACAAACAGTTTATAATTCTGAATAATTGTAAAAAAATCTAAGGGAAATTTCAAGTAGATATGAAAACACGTATATAACGTTGTTAATAATAAAATAACAGCAGCAAATTACAAAATAATACAGCAGAATGAAAGTCCAACAAAAATATCACATTAAACATTATCAAATATTATTTTTATATTATATTTAATATTAAAATATTATAATATATTAATAATATTAAATATAATATTTTTCAATAGAATCTTTTGATGTAAATACCTATGTACATTATTTATTATTGTAAATATTTTAATTATCTCTGGATTTATTATATGTATAATCATATGTTATATACATGTTATATACATGTATGTATATGTATATAGGATGAATACTAGGTAATGTAAAAGATTTAAGGAGTGTTTTCTGACAAAAATTCAGGACGAAAATTATATGCCCAAAATGACTTAATTTAAAAAATATAAGTTATCAAAGTTGAAGAAAAAATTTTGCTTTTTTCCAAAAATTTCGAAAACTACTCGAGTTATTTTGAAGAAGCTTGAAATGTCACAAAGTTTCACACACATATATATATGTATATATATATATATCATGACTTCCAGCGTGAATAGTACATTTTCGTTCGAAATCGGAAGTTGAAAATATCAGTATTCGATAAATGTACCCGATTTACTTATCAAAATTTTTGGACTTTTCCTTCCCACTTTCCTCGTTTTTAAGTGGATGGTCTGAGGTCACCCTATGTATGTGTATATATATCTGGAAAATTATACCAGATGTATTCCTGTATTGTATAAAACTGACGAATATATAAATGTTATCATGAAAATATAAATGAATATATAAATGTATATCATGAAAATATAAATGTATATAATATTGATAGTCTTAAAATTACAATTGAGAAATATTATTTTAAAAATTATATACATATCTCTGGAAGCTTGCAACGTTGCGCAAAGAGGTCAAGGAAATTTAAATGACAATTTATAGCGTCAGATTCAATATATAACCCAATGACGTATTATATGCTCTCAATTCATCATTTCTTCGAATGTCGAAGATAATTTAATGAAAGCTCTGTGTTTCAGTAATACTATGCTTTATAAATATTTCTGCATTTCGCAATAGAGATTACACATGTGTATTGCACAGTAGAAATTCATAGAAACTATTGACTTGATAATCAACAAGTTGACGCATAATAATTTGTATTTCAGAAACTTGATACCACGATACGGTTCTTCAATAGATCAGACTATTATACAGTACACGGAAGCGATGCTCTCTTTGCCGCACAGGAAATATTTAAAACAACGTCCGTTTGTAAAAAGATTGGAGCTGGTAAATATAATTTTAAAAAATTATTTATTTATTATTTAGAATAAACATTGAATAATTTTTCAATATTTATATAAAAGAACCGTGTCTTAGATTTTTTGAAAAGAATATATTTTAACAATTAGATACAGATATTTCACGAAACGAAAATCCTTGCAAGTTTTTTAACTTTTAAGTATTCTAATTTTTATGTACAAATCTCTTTATATTTTTTAGATGTATTCAATGCATGTGTTTTAGTATGTTTAAAAGAGCACAGTTGATATTTTTTTTAACATTTATTAACACGATAAATTTATCATGTATTTGATTCTTTATAACCTTTTACTTAACTTAATTAAAAGAGTGTTAGTTGAGTTTTAAGCGTAGTGCAATTTAAAATATTAATAAAACCAATGTCTTTTTTTCTTACAGAGCCGCATAAAACAGAAGGAGTTATTCTTAATAAAAGTCATTTCGAGACGTTTGTGCGCGATTTGTTGTTAGTAAAGCAATACAGAGTTGAAGTTTATGTCAATCAAGGCTCGTCTAAAAATCAGAACTGGATCTTGGAGTACAAAGGTTCGCCTGGCAATCTATCTCATTTCGAAGATATCTTGTTCGGCAATAATGACATAGCTGTTGGTGTATCCGTAATAGCTGTGAAACTGGGTACAGAAGGAAAGTCCAGAGTGAGTTCATCATGCATGATAAAATATAAAATATATCAATATATATATCTTATACATTCTTGCTAAAATATTATACAAGAATGATGTTCTAATATAATTTATATCTTACAGAATTAATATTAACATACCTAAATTATTATTATGTTGTAGGTTGTCGGCTTAAGTTGTGTAGATGTCGTTTCAACTCTAATATCAGTCACTGAATTTCAAGATAACGAATCATTTTCAAATCTAGAAGCGGTCACTGTAACTCTTGCTCCAAAAGAATGTTTATTGATTCAGGGTGAAGGCAGTTCTGAGTTTCAAACTCTCAAGCAAGTACGTATGTACAATGTCAAAAATAAAATGATTACGTTCATAAGTATGAATTATACATTTTACTAAAATATTTTGGTATACCTGACATAATTTCGTATTGATTTTTTTAGTTAATGGAAAGAAATAATGTAATGGTTACTTTACGAAAGAAAAATGAATTTGCTAGTGACTCGATCATAGACGACCTAAACACGTTGATAAAATTTAAAAGAGGACAAAAACAGAATGCACAATCTTTGCCTGAAGTCAACTTGAACTTAGCTATGTCCGCAACGTCTGCTCTCATTAAATACTTAGATGTAAATGTTTTTATAATTTTATTTACAAAAATAGATATGATCACATCTTTACTTAATCAAATTTTGATATATTCATTAATGAATTCAACAATTACTTTTTCTTATAATAAAAATAAAATTAATAAGCTTAGCGTAAGAAATTATTCGATAATTAAAAACCTTGTGTATATGTAACAAGAACATCTTATTTTTCAGTTTCATACAAAAATATAACAAGTTACAATAAATGATAAGTTAGCATTAAATATACATTTAAAAATTATTAAATTAGTTTATCATTAAAATTTGTGGTAAAGATGTCATCCTATATGCCTTTTATCGCTATGTGTTTCTTATTCAGTAATTTCTTTGTTAGCTAACATCGGACGAAGGCCACATGAACCAATTTAAACTGAATCAAATCGAGCAGTCGCGATACATAAGATTGGATTCTGCGGCAATAAAAGCTCTTAACATCGAACCACATACTGATACAATTTCGAACTTACATGGAAACCCAGTCGCTAGTGTTTTAACATTATTAGATAAATGTAGAACCCCGCATGGGCACCGATTGATCGCGCAATGGGTTCGACAGCCACTTAAAGATTTATCTCTAATAAAGGAACGGCATGACGTCGTTGAACTATTAGTGAAAAATAACGAATTAAGATCCACTCTTAGTGATGACTATTTAAAACGTATACCAGATCTGCAACAGCTTGCTAAGAAACTAGCTAGAAAGAAGTCGACGTTGCAGGATTGTTACAAGTAAGTTATTAGCTATATTACAGAATGAAAAGTATCATAGACAGGAACGGCTAATCGTAGCGATTAGAGCAAAATATATCGACGTATCACGCTTTTGAAGACTACATTATTGATGTTTATTATGCATATACTTCAGGATCTATCTCTGTGTGTCATACTTGCCAAAATTATTGGAACAGCTGTCATCAGAAGGAAATGTGACAGCGTTGAAAGTAATGATAATGGATCCATTAAAGGAACTTATAGAGGATATGGATAAATTTCAACAGCTTGTAGAACAGACGATTGATTTAGATGCTGCTGAGAAGGGTGATTTTATGGTCAATCCAGGATTTGCAGATGATTTGAAAAGTAACAATCTTAAATTTTTGACTTGTTATTACGTTTCTTTAAAGGCATACATAGAATAATGTCCAAAATATATGCAGAAGTTACAGATTACAGATATCTAGAATTATACGTAAATTTTAAATCTTAAATAAGAAAAGATCTGTACGTCAGTTTTGGCACTCATTATATATATATTACTTTTTTAAAATTTTTTATTATTTTAAATAAATTATATATATAATTGTTATATTCTATGTAATAATTATATATACACATAATATATAGACATTCTATGATATTACAGCATTAAAAGACGCAATGGATGAAATTGAGGAAACCATACAGCAACAGCTGAATAAGGCAGCAAATGATCTTTGCTTAGAAGCAGGAAAAACAATAAAGTTAGAATCTAATCAACAGTTTGGCTATTATTTTCGTGTTACATTAAAGGAAGAGAAAATACTTAGGAACAAAAAGAATTACACCACTTTGGATTCTAATAAAGCTGGCGTAAGATTCCGAAATAATAAATTAAACGAATTGAATGATGATTTCATCGATGCCAGAAATAAATACTTGGAAAGGCAGAAGGACGTCATTACAGAAATTGTAGGAATTGCAGGTTTATATCAAATCTTGCTTTAAATAAAAATTACTCCAATATTAAAATATAATGTTAATATAACTCATAATTTTTATGTATCTTCTTCAGCTGGCTATAGCGACATAGTGCGTACTATCGGTGGCGTGTTGGCATGCCTCGATGTTCTCACTGCATTTGCTACTGCAGCAGTAAGCGCTAATAAGGTGTATGTGCGTCCTAAAATGGTGCCGAGTGAAGAAGGTGAATTAAATCTCGTTCAAATCAGACATCCGTGTTTGGAAATGCAACAAGGTGTTGACTATATTGCTAATGACATCAGTTTTAAGAGAGGTATGAATACAAGATCTAGATCCGTGAAAACAATATATAATCGGAATAATATGACTAGAAAAATAGTATAATTAAAATCGCAATATTCTAAATTACATTTATTATGAAAAATTCTCTAAATTCTTATTTAACTTATTTTTAGATCAGTGTCATTTTTGCATTATTACTGGTCCGAATATGGGAGGCAAAAGTACTTACATTAGATCAGTTGGTGTAGCTGCATTAATGGCTCATATTGGTAGTTTCGTTCCTTGTGATAAAGCAACTATATCGTTACTGGATTGCATATTGGCTCGAGTAGGAGCTGACGATTCCCAGTTAAAAGGATTGTCGACTTTTATGATGGAAATGATAGAAACCGCTGCTATTTTAAAAGTAATTTATTATTGACCATTAAAACTATAATAATTACGATTATATAATAAAAATACAATGTTATCTCTAATATTAAATTTCACTTGTAGACAGCAACATGTAATTCTCTTGTAATTATCGATGAGTTAGGCAGAGGCACGTCTACTTACGAAGGTTGTGGTATAGCGTGGTCAATAGCAGAGTAAGTATATAATATGGTAATTTATACTACATAAAAAGAGAGTATATTGATGTAATATTTTATTATATTTTATTCTCTTAGGCATTTGGCGAGAGATATTAAATCATATTGTCTATTTGCTACACACTTCCACGAGATCACCAAGTTAGCCGAAGAAATACCCGCTGTGAAAAATCAACACGTCACTGCTCTCGTCGAAGACAATAAATTGACGTTACTTTATAAAGTAATGCCAGGGATTTGCGATCAAAGTTTTGGTCTTCATGTCGCTAAAATGGCTAATTTTCCGTCAGTTGTAATAGACGTATGTATTTGATTCATAAGCACCTATTATAATACTTTCTGTTTTACATATCGAGCGATTTTTTTTTTGTTTAGTTCGCCAAAAAGAAACAAGCAGAACTTGAAGATTATCAAGGCGTAGCTTTTGAAGGATCTGATAATCCCGAGAAGAAACGGAAGATTATTCAGGTACCTTTATTGCCATTAAAATTGCTTTATTGTTTAATACTTCTAATAATTATTAAATGTGATAATAGATGTAATATTATTTATACAATTTGTCCAACTACTGATTATCATATGTATTTTAAAACGATATTTATGTACGGACGTTATTTCACATCTTATTAAGTTTAGAATAATTTCACGTAAAACAGAGAGCTCTTTTTTTTTTATCAAGATACATTTTCTATTTATATTCGTGTAGTATTGAATGAAACACTTAATGATTACATATATTTCTATATTTCTATAAAATTAAAATGCTAGATAATCTAGAAGAGTGTCCGAACATTTAATTCTTTTCCATTGTAGATACGAGATGTTGAAGCTTTTAATATTGTTGCAGGAGGGTGAAATTCTTATTTCGCAATTTCTCAAGAAATGTAAAGCTGTGGATCAGTCTTTACCCGTCGATGACATAGTAAGCCAAGTGTCGTCGTTCCAGGAGGAAATTCTCTCTCACAAAAATCCTTACGTTGATGCATTACTCGGATGTTCCTAAATATCTTTACTACAAGTTAATTTACACAAACGAAGAAGAGATGTAGATATTTTTCATTAAATCGATTTTGTGTAATTGCGTTACATTTAATCTTTGTCTTTATTCCTTAATAATTGTTAACCAATTGTTATATAATCATGCAGATTTAAACAATTAATTTGATTACATTTTGCCACCGATATGTGATACCTCGTCGATATTGGCGCTGTAACTTTGTGATCAATTTTCAAACCAGATCAAATGCACGCCAATGAAAGTATTTAAAAGATCGTTTTTCTTTGGCGAATTTTTTTACGAGTTCGGAGAAAAAATTCCGCGATCGCCAGTCGCGAAATTGCGTTTCCGCAATGATACCATCCACGGGTAACATATATTGATTCGAGTTACTCGCCGTCGTAACCTTGAACTTGACTAGCGTATTAGCTGGTCCTGGGGAGTGTCTGAAGGCCTGTCAAGTGACTGTTGATCGTACACTTTTCTATCGTTTTTATCAATAACAATTATGGATCCCGCGGTCTTCCCGGAGGAGATTTGGATTAAGATTTTATTATATTGCGACGTACCTGACATTATCGCGTTCGGCAGCACCTGCAAGTATCTGAGGAAAACGTCGGACACGGATTACCTGTGGTAAGTGCGTTAGGTTAGATTCACGTCAAACTTAACGTCAAATCAAGCCTGCCGCGGGACGATATGCGCCCGGAGACGCGAAATTTTGCGCGCGCGAATTGACGGGATATCGATCCCCCTCGCTGCTCTTCCGCTGGATGATTCGCCGATCGAAATTTTTTTTCGCGGCCGGAGCGACCCAGCCTTCTCTTTCCGCCCAGCGAGGGGAATCGAATGTCAAGACATGTCTAATAAGAAAGTATATACTATATAGTCGTTGTCGCTCGGGACCCCGAGAGCGAGACGTTGCCCCCGGCTTCTAAAGACAACAACGTTTCTGCGTAATTTCAGGAAGATGAAATGGCTGCAGCTGATCTCAAAGGTGCACTTCAGATTCCCGGACATAAAATGCTTGCAATTGCTCAGCGTCAGCTTCAAAGCCATGTGCTACAGGCTGCACATGGTGATAACGTTGGGGGAGAACGTACCCTTCCCGAAGTGTTACCACTGCAGCGGTTACACGTGCCAGAGAAACTGCGTCGAGGGCTCCAGCGCCAAGGTGGTGATCGAGATCGGCAACAAGTACACCTGGGTCATCACCCCGTACTTCGGACTCAGGCGACACTTCTCCATGTTCGGCATTCCCAAGTACAACAATAAGACCCACGTGGAGCAGACGCAGACGCAGAACGTGCCGAGCAGCAGCACGCGCGCCAAGTCCGACACCAAGTCACTGGCGAAGAGATTGAAGCTGCTGAAGCTGCCGGAATTGACGACCGTTAAGATACCACGGCCGAGCGGGCCGTTCTGCGTTTTCTGCAATCCCGTCAAGCTATACAGGGAGAAGCGAAGGTTGACCACACATCAGAATGATCCAATGTGCTACACCAGGCCAAATCCGATATATCAGAAGCTTATAAACGGTTACTGCACCGACACGGTGGAAGTGCTCGGTATTCCAAACGTGGACGTTGTCAGCCCGGCGGAGGCCTTGCTGTGCGAGGGCACGTTTCCGGTTCTCAAAACGTTTATCGATCACCTGTTCCATCAGATGAGCCTGACGGCCACGCTTAGAAAGCCGAATACCGTACTCATGTTTTGCGAACCGTTGGCAATGCATCCCACTTTGAGGAAACAGTTATTACATTATTTATTCCAAGAGGTTAAAGTAGCGAGGTAATTTATTATATATATAATATACACATACATAAGCCGTAATCACTAGTGATTAAGATTGGATTGAATTTTGATCAGTCAGAGAGAGAGAGAGAGAGAGAGAGAGAGAGAGAGAGAGACAGAGGAAACGAAAACTAATATTAAGTAAATTTTGCTTTGATCGGTCAAATTCCAATCTAATCTCAATTGCTAATGTGATTACAGCTATATGTATGTCGTATTATTTCACTAGATGTATATTACACACATAAATTTAATTTACATTATTTTAATTTTATTTATTATTTTTATCAACATTCTAGAATTACTAGAATTCTAGAGTATAACTCGATACCGCAGCTATAGAAATTTATTAACTGAAATTATTGCAGAGTATGCTTGGTACCGAAGCCTCTAGCAGCATGTGCCATGTTAGACGTGGAAACCTGTGTGGTAGTCGATAGCGGTGCTTTGAGTACAACAGTGGCTGTCGTAATTGGAGGACGGGTAATGCCACAGCGCTGGAGACTATTGCCCGTGGGTGGTTGGCACGTTGCCTACCACTTGAAGCAAGCTATGTACTGGCAACCGAAAGAATATCATCAAATTCCTATATCCTACCTAGACATTTTGGCTGTTAAAGAAAGGTGTAGGCTGAGTTATAATATTAAGAACGAAGAGAAACGTCTGGGACAGAAGGCGAGGGAGCATATTAATCTTCGAGTTGACAGCTATGCGGACTATAAACAATTTTGGGTACGTATATATTGTACTGAAGAGAAAATAAATTTATAACTTAGATTCACAGAGAGGTATTACACAAAAATATTGTTGCTTTTAGAGAGTCTCATTAGGACCAGAGTTGTACATAGCCCCTGAAATGATGTACATCAGTTTGCGTTTGCCCGAAGTTATAAAGGATGTAACGTCAGGATTACCGGAAGATATAATGCACGATTGTCTTTCGCATATTTTACTTACTGGTGGGAATACAGACCTTTCGGGTTTCGAACTGCGGCTTACTAAGGATCTACGTGAGCTGTTGCCGGAGCATAGCAAGATTTTGGAGGTGAAAAGCTGTCCTGGTACACATAGTTGGAACGTCGCGATGGGATCTACATATGTGCCTTTAGCTGTGCATCCTGGTAAGCATTGATAATTATTATATAATTACATTTACGTACTAATACAATTAAATATAGAGCAATGAATTGTGCGCTAATTAAAACAGCATAAAAAATATGAAAATAGAAATATAGTTAAATTGCATTAAAAAACGCATAAATAAAATAAAAATAAATAAAATAGAGAATAACATTGGGAAATGTTATTAGATTATAGTGTTAAGGAATTTCAAGTTTTTCAAATTCGTTTCAGATAAAACTCCACCGGAATATATTGAAGGTAATCCATTTTGGTTATCACGAGAAGAATATGTATTGTTTGGATGTGAATCTCTGGAACACAGTAACGAGGACATAATAAGTGATGCCTTATAATATGAATGCCTCACTTATTAAGCAACCGTAAGATGTGCGCATATATTAATGTATGATGACAGGAAAGTAAATGTTACCATCTTTAAGTATATTTTCTCTTATATTGTCTATAAATTGGAAAAGTAATTTAGATAATTGAAGGGGCCTGAAACACATTCCAAAATATAACTCATGTTCACGCTATTTAAGGGCACCTAAATGTGTTTTTCTCAAATTTTGCTATTTAAAATTTATTTAATAGCATAGTATGTATAAAATATATACCAGATGTTCCATATTGAACGTACAGAGAGTATAATCTCTGAGATGAGAAGACGTAAAAGTTTTTATCTTGTGTTATTAATTTTATGTTGAATATATTTTAGTTAGTCCTTTTAACAATTTAGAAGTAAGTATTTATAGCCAATTTGGCTAGGAAAAAAAATATATATATACACATAATATATTCTGATTATATTATATATGTAGTATTATAAAATATATTTATATAAGTCAAATTTTCGTAATGAACTATTTTTTATGTTTTGTTTTACATTTACGTTATGAATTACCTTTTCATAATGAACTGTTTCGTCTTGTTTTATCTCGCAAATTAAAAGGGACATCTTGTATATATGTTCTAAAACTGCCCCTATATTAACTTTGAAACTTATGGCATTTAAATTTCCACATATTAAAAAGAATTCATTATCTATTAGTATTTTAGGATATCATGGAGCTTTGTACAAAGCTAATTAATATGCCAGTTGCAATGTACTTTATCAGTACATTCGTTATTAATTCTATCAGGATTATCATCCAGCACCTGATATCGTTCAGTGCAATATTATATGTTGATGGCATAAATGTTTTAAAAGTTGCAATACAAGATTTTAGTGCCATCTGAGCATATTTAAATTATAAAACTATTTACTTTCATGTACATAGCACATGCAATGAATTGTTTTGTAAATATAGGGTAAAAGCTGCTTAACAAAGCTGCTTAAATTTAAAATGTACAGATCATTATTATATAAACGATAAACGTCAAGCAAGTATTATATAATGCTAGATATAGTATTTCCAGAAATTGTTCACTATTTCGTACATTTATATCACAGAAATCTTGCCAAAAGAAGTATGTGTATGTTAAAACAAAGAGAAAATATAGCAACATTTCTAGTCACTTTAGATATTGATAGCTTTTAAATATAGGTTCAGTGAAGCAAGAGATTTTTCTTCCAAGATGAAGTAAATAATCGCACTAGCGACATGTAATAAATAATAAAAAGAACAATGAATCTTTAGATTATATGTTCATGAAATATATGGATATTGTTATATTTTTTTGTTAATGATATAGAGTATAATTTTATGACTAAGTTAAGACATAATTATTGATATGATTACTCATAAGATATTTCATTAAGAGACTGTAATGAATTTGATAGCTGTAATTAGAGCACATATTGAGATGAGTTAAATTATTATTTAGATAAGAATATGTAATATGTAGCTAGTATAAAGCAATTATAAAAAAAATAGTATTGTAAATGCTATGTTATAACTGACGTTTGTATTAAAAAAAATATCTATCTAAATTATTATTGTGTTAGCTACTAGAACTCTATCAGAGAAAACTTACTTATAGGTGTTCACATGGCTTCAATTCTGTAAAATGCTAAAATGTAAGTATAAAACATTAAATATGTTACACAACACAAAGAGAAGAGAGAGTAGTTTATAATGCGTAATATATATACATGCTGCTATATCCCGTTTTCACTTCACTTCATAATGTGAAAATTTTGCATCTTTAATATATTTCAAGCTCCTAATAGACATATATTACTTATAATACAATACAATCTTTGAAATTAAATAAGGGAAGTATATATTTACTTGACTCGTGCAAAATATTTCTTTGCATATACATAGTACCTCAATGTTGGTCATTTTGCTCTTAGAGATTTTTTTTTTAGTGTGATAGTAAGATCGTTTAAATGTTCAAGTCATGCACATGCATTCAATAGTAATATGAGTCTAACAAGATATAAAAAGATATTGTCACTTTCCATGACAACTCACACCTTTGCAACGAACGGAGAACTTTAGTGTTTACCGTATTTGAAAAATGCAGCACTGCAAAAACTTTCCATTATGTTAAAAATATATACAAAAATTGCGTATATATAAATATATAAAACTCGCTGTTGCTTGTGGTTCTGTTATTTATAAGAGATGTACAACGTGTAAATAAATCTTTTTCAGATATTCTTGCGTTATGTTCAATTATGTGATGAATCAAGAAATAGATATAAATAAATCTTTAGAATGCAATAAAAAATATATAAAGAGAGAAAGAGAAAAAATAATTTAGTTTTGGTTTTTTTATAAAGTTTAGCAAATTTCTATTCACATTGTTTTATATAAAATACAGTTGTGATCTTTTTTTAGAAGTTTCTTAGACGAGCTTACATAATTGCTTTTCTCTTCATGTTTAGACGAGGGATACTTATTCTAATATAAAAGAGAAAAAAATTTTTGTGGTACTTTCATGCGATTATATTAAGTATTTTATTAACAATGTTGCAAGCTTTTCCGTAATTTCATTGTACTTATAAAACCATCTATAAATTTTTATTCGTTATACCACAGCTGATGAGTATAAAACGTAATAAAGAAAGATATTTGTGTAATTTCATTTCTTACTACTTACAGACTGTGAAAATTTACTTAAAATATTACATTGTGTATATATTAACATTAAATCTAAGGATATACGTCTATGTATATATAACATTTTCAAATTATATATAAATTATATAAATTTATTTATTTTTCGGATTATTCGGATTGTACTGTGAAGAATCGAAAATTATTTCATATTTATGAACCTTACAGAATATAAAGTATTCCAGATAAAAGAAAATATATTCAAAATAGCGTATCAGTTTATAAAAAATGTCATCTCGCATGTATCCCAAAAAATCTAAAATATATAATATATATTATTGTAAATTGTACATACACATAAATATTGTATGTTCTATACTTTGGTTACGTTTAAATTGTTTTTATAATACATAAAGAAGCGAGATTTTACAATACTACACTAACATTAACAATGCATATAGGCTACGTATATTACAAGTGTATTTTCACAAACCCTGATAATAACAATTCATCAAACTGTGAAGAAATGGTAGAAAATGTGTTTCCGATTATTTTGTACATATACAATTTTATATTTCTTCTTCTAATACCAGTTGTACCAATCTTACTTTACAGAAAAGATGCTCTGTATATTATAAATAACAAATCACATACTATCGTGTAGAAATAAATTTTTATTATCTCCCAGAAAAAATAAATTCAACAGAGCTGCACAGCCGTCATTTTTTATTGAACAATATTGTTAATTTGTTGGACGAAATGAATCCTGATTGTGAATGTATTTTAAACGCTCATACAATATTGCACGTATTTTGTTTTTGAAACAATCCTATTTCAATGCTTATATATGTTGCAATATTTATTATTAATATATCAGATGACTAACAAAGTTCATAGTATTTGCAGAATAGGTATAATTTGATCAGAATCTTTCGAATGTCGAAATTTAAATGTGCCCACAAGGCAATATTGTTTTGGCAAATTGAGAGTTACTTGTAATTTAAGAATACTTATAACGTATGTTATAAACTTGCTTAGGCAATGTAATTTGAACATTACTTCAGACTTGGTTAAAATCGATTAAGCAATATGCGCAATCCTAAATTTGTCGATATTTCGTATTCTTGTAACATACACGCGTATAATATTTGTCAGAATAAATACTTTCAAACAAGAGGAAAAAAGGCTAGTCCGATTACTATCATCTTTGCTTAACTTTAGGATAGGTATAAACTTGGCACAATAGTTGCAAATAACGGGTAAGTTGCGCACATATTCAGAGGGGATGAAATGTGTGCCTGTGTGTGATTTTTTTTCAATAGTCTGTACAGGATCAATGGTCTTTAGGATGCTTATATTTCGAGAAAATATAAGTCTGTTAATTCTCTCTCTAGCAATGTATAAATTACCACTCTCTAGGAAATTATATGAATTTTATTAGCCATCTGATGTTTGTACAAGCTATATACAAAAATGTCTAGCCCAGATGCAACCGTAATTTTCGATAAAATTGTTAGTCTTTTCCCTTAAAACAAAGAATGCAGTAGGAAGTTATCTGTCACATAAGTAAAAAAAGATCGTGTGTACAATATACAGTAACCTATATTAATGTAATAAATAACTTTATAGCCCGATAATAACATGTAACACATAAGTGAGTATAAGTATATATTACAATATGCTTATATTTATGCGCTTTGATTAAATTATACATTCTCCCGAAATAACTATTCCATCTGCATTCTTAAATTTTTTTTGCATTTTCTAAAAATAAATCAAAAAATACCTAGTGACCTAACAACACGAGCTCTTCGCCGGTTCCGCCTCGACTAGATTAAAATCTAACCCACCAGGCCTAGCAAATCCAGTTTTGATGCCGTCCCAGCCATCCTCTACCTTGTATTCGCCGGTCTGTATCCTGTTGTAAACCTCCTGCGTAACCGTTCGAAACGCATCTTCAACATTTACACCAGTCTTCGCACTGGTCTCAATATGATGTACACCATGCTCGTCGGCGAACGCTCTGGCTTCTTCCTTGGAGACTTCCCGTCTACCGCCGTTAGTTACGAGATCCAACTTACAGCCTACCAGAGCAAATACTGGACGATGAGGCTCGATATGTCTGCGAGCCTCCATCATCCACTGGGGGATATGCTCGAAACTCGCTCTATTACAAACGTCATACACGAGAAGCGCACCTACAGAGTTTCTGTAGTAAGACTTCGTTATCGACCTGTAAACAAAGAAAACTTGATAACAAGACTTATCTTCGTAAGAGTTAACAAAGAAAAAAAAATTAATAATGCAAAAACACCCAGAGAATAATTATAAATTTTAAAAAAAAAAAAAAATTTTTTTTGAATATGCACAAAGATATACATACCTAAATCTCTCTTGACCAGCTGTATCCCATAATTGTAACTTTATCCTTGTACCATCTTTAACTTCTATTAAGCGTGCAAAAAAATCCACACCCACGGTTGGATCTGAAAGCTAAAGTACAAAATATTAAATATAAGGAAATTTTTTCTTTCTTTGCATGTTATCTTCTTAATTGAGGAACTACAATCAGAGCGTATCAATAAGGCTCATTTTCACCAATGCAGATTGACTTTAATCTTGGTTTAATTTACTCATTATATTCTCTCAATACTTAGAACTATATCTACAACTTTATCTTCTTCTAGGTAAGGGTCTAACAATGAGAAAAAGATAACAAATAAATAATTAAACCGAGATTAAAGTCAATCTACAGTGATAGAAAAGGGCATGAGTCATGTTATTATATCTATTTTTCCATAAAGCTTTATAAGCTCGGAATATAGAACTTGTCAACAATCAATCTTAAAGCTACATTGGATTTTATAATTTGTTAATATAATCAATTATATATATTTATTGCAATAGATTTGTTCTTTTCTATTAAATTCTTTTGTACACTTTTTCTCTCAATCGTCTAATTATATATTTAATTATAACCTAGTGCAGATACACAAAGAACAAATCGACTGTCAATGCAATTATGCAAAGTATCGACTCGATTAAGTCAAGCAATGTTTTAATACGTATAGCAGTACAATAGTCATCCAAATGATGTACAGAAGAAATAACAGTAGAGATGTAATAGATGCAAATATACATGAAACATTTGCATTGATTTTAATCAAACTCCGATTAACCTAATCAACAACAGAATTGTCTACAGCAAGTTTCTAACTATATAATTCGTTGTCTCCTTTTTCTTTTCACGTGTCAAGCAACAAAAAGTTAACAATTCCTATCCATATTAACAAAATAACGCAAGTGTTATCCAGTCAATCGGAGTTTGGTCGAGGTCACTCGTAATCTATCCAATCCTAACAGACAGAGGACAAAGACAGAGAGAGAGAGAGTTACGTAGATCGCTAAATATACATCCTGATATACATCGGAGTTGCGCGACGTATGAAACTCGCCTAACCTAATTAAACCGTCGTGTGGGAGCCAAGGCCGTCGAGGCGAATGCTCCGAGCGGTCCAGCGCGAGAAATCGGTGAACTTGGAGGTCGGACATTCGCTTGCCCGCGCGTCGCGACGAACTGCGACGTTCCCGCGTAATGACTAATGAGACAGGAGGGATGTAAACAGGGGAAGGATACTACGCAGGCAATTCCATCGCGACGGAATTGCCCGTCATTCGCGCAGAGGGCCAGGAGGGAGGGGGAGAGGGGGCACCGTCCGAGTCCGAGGACGGAGATGAGACCGCGTATGTACCTCCGCGAACTTGCCGTCGGTGAAGTACTTGAGGAGAGAACTCTTCCCGACCGTGCTGTCGCCGATCAGGATCAGTCGGAATTGGTAGTCGAAGATGGGCTCTACCATCTTGACGGTGTTCCTTTGCGCCCAAACAAACACACGCCTCCCTCACGACGCAAGTCGATAGTCGGCCGCGCGCGCGGAATCAGCAGCGTGTCGCGTCGTCGTCGTCGTCGTCGTCCCTCAGCACATCACGCGCATCTCTATCGCCACGGCGTGCCCTCGCCTTGTCGTGAGCGCGCACAGAGTAAGCACACAGCTGACTGTGGCCATCAATCATCGGAGAGCAAGTCTCCGTCCGACGTCCGCAGACGTCCGTCCGACGAGGGCGACGAGAGCGACCACCGTGCGCACCACTTTTGTATCCCGAGAACTCGAGGCACCCGAGCCGAGGCTCCCTCACCTTCGCCCCGCGAATACTACGGCGGCTCGTCGCTCGGCCGCGCGCACGCTACTGCGCACAAGTCCGCCGCGGCGGCGCCGGGACGGCGCGGCGGTGTCGCACGCGATCACACGCGATCGCGCGACATTCGCGACGACGACGACGCGCCCGTTCAAAAGTTTACTCGCGTTTGTTTACATTTTGCTCCCCTTCCCGCTTCCCCCCCCTCCCCTTGTTCTATTGAAGTCTGCATACTCAGTATACGCGAGTTTCAAGTTTCTGGAAAGTGCATAAGCAGTTGATTCCCGTATCGCGATCACACGTGCGATGCATTTGAATACATTGGGTAATTGCTTTCCTTCATTTCTTCCTCGTATCTTAATTCTTTCATCAGATTTCTGATCATCATATATCATAGTCACAGCACCATTTGATAAAAAAAACCCAAAAATAAGTTGTAATGTCATTTGTTATAATATATGTTTGCAATTTAACGTCATCTTTTTCTCCATATTAATTTCTTTTTTTTATTCTCTGCGAACTTCATTATCTTAAATATTCTTATATTAATCCTATTCTTTTTTCTTCTTCGAAAACTTGTTAAATATAATAATTTTAGCAAGCATATAAATTTATAGATCAGACGAAACAGACAGATGAATAAATTATTATATTTTAATTTATATACTATAATTCTGTTAATATTAAATGCGCGCGCAATACACGATATACTATATCTATTTTTGATATTAAGATTAGAAAGATTTCTCAAACTCAAAAGAGTATTTAACAGAAGAAAAATGCAAAAATTCTTGATTAATAATTTAATCATATACGAAAGAAAGACCTTTGCTTGTGAAATTTCTTACGAGTTCGAAATAAATGGCTGATGTCTTGAATTTCATATAGAAAAATAACTGATTTTGTGCTTTCCATTTAATAATACAAATCGAATCCTAATCGTTTCTGCTTTCCATTTGATTTGCGTCATCGTACATCGCGATGACTCAAGTCGACCCTGACTAATTCTACTACGGAGTACGGCAGTGAGTTATTGAGTGATAAAGAAGAGCGGGAGGGAGGGAGGGAGTGAGGAAATAGGCCAAAGAGAAAATAAAAGAATCTGAATAATATCGTTACGTCACTCATTGTCATCGTCATTGGCGCTGTCGCTATTTTTGTTATTTACCGATAAATTATTAAACGAACAGTCTTTATTTGTTAAAGAAAAAAAATTTGATTTATTCTATTATATTATACGTATAAATATGTAATTTGTTTAAAACACTTAATGAAAACAAATATTTTATCTCTCTTTCGAGTATATTTATGAAATGTGTTTAAAAAATACAGTATATAAATTATGAGCTAATTTATCTCTATTTATGTTTACATCAACAAATTATACTCTAATTACATCATAAATAAATTAATTTTTAAGCCTCTCGAGATATATATCGTGTGCCTCAATTTCTATGTATGGTAAATACTTTCCGTTTATCGTGTTGGAGTTATCGACTTGAGTTAACTCGAATCGACATGATCGAGCATCGCTAAAAGTCAAGCAAATAGAAAACACGCTGTCATCATGTTGCATGTTATAGATGTATTAGCTTAAAGTATTAGAATATGCGTGATATTTCCTACATTACTGAACATGTGTAAAGATTATGAAAAATGACGGTATCTGTAAAAGAAAATTAAAACGTCGAATAACAAGATTTCAACGAGAGCAATGCTAGCATATTTTAAAGTGCGGCGTTTATATTCTTTTTCTTCTCTCAAAGCTCGAATGTTTCATTTTAAATGCAGGAAAGTGCAAGAAAGCGTAGCTAAAACAAACAGATTTACTTTATCTCTCGAACTTTCTCTCCCCGCTTTCCCTCAGCTGCCTTTTCCCTTCCGTTCTCGCGACTTATGTGCATATTAAGTGTGTTTCTTTTCAACTGCACTTTTTGCATTCCTTTACGATTTTTCTTTTTCTTTTACGTCATTCCAGTTTATAAGCAGTATTATTGGTTTCACATTTCAAATACAGAAGATATATATAACACTGTACAAGAAAGATTGCATTGTTATTATTTTATTGACAATCTATATGTAGGATGCATTTCGAGATGTACTGATAATATTAAAGATCTGTGACATACGTAACGTGAATTATAAACTTTATCATATTATTGTCAATACAATTAACACTCTATTTCGGAATCCATTTTTAAATTATCAAGAAGAACGGATAAACGATGAAACGAAGAGCGAGTGAACATCTTGAATTTAAATATAAATTAGATTAACAAAAAATGTAAGCGCATGCTCGTGTTAAAATATACTTTAATACAGAATTTTTATACCTTGCATTATTCTTCGAAACAATAAGAAATAGTTTTAAATAATTTTTACAAAATTACTAATTCACATCGTGAATAATCCCATTATAAAAGAATAAGATCTTCATTTGAATTAACTGAGATTTTATCGAGTGTTATTGGCGTGCACACTCTGTATTTACGCTAGCGTGCTATGAATGTCATGTTCTACTTGACACGCATCGGACGTTTTATATACATGAGTTGAATTGGCGCGACGTCTGTTAAACGCCTTGTAACGCCGTATTAATTTTTTAACACGTCACACCAGCGGTGAGCTTTCACGAAGACAACTTTATGACACGGTTAATACCGTCGCCAGCGACTTAAGAAAACTTACACCGCCGCAGTGACCTCTGGTCCTCGATTTATTCACAAGTATTTATTTCGTAGAAATAGAAGACAAAATACTATGTTATAAACTAGTGCATGACTTAAAAAAACTTTATACTTCTTTTCTTTAAACTATTTTATTATAGAATAAAAGTATAGATCTGTTTCACTAGTTTATTATAGTATTCTTCCTTTTTCTCCTATGATCAAAATAAATAATATTCTGCAAAAAAAAAAACTAAATCTGGCAAAGTTTATTAGCAAAGACAATTACAATGGAGACACTTTAATTTGATCGCATATTAATCGCTTACAGAACTTAAAAAGTCATTTAATTGTAAGTAAAATATTTACTGATTCTAAACATAGTTAGAAAATAAATCAGTTTGGTCTAATATGCAGCGCGAATTTGATTTTCCAATTACAATTTGAAATTAATTTTTTATTTCATTACGTCGTCACGTCATTATACGTTACATTGTGTTATTTTCATGACTCAGCATATTCACATCATCCATTCAATTCAAGATCGAATTTTTACTGAATATCCGAATTTATTACTTTTACATTTTGTTTCTTACATTGTACAGAATCTCTTCTCATAATCAAAGCACTGATTATGTAATGTTTGACGGAGCTATTTAATTAATATCAAATTACTCCAGAAATATATTTTACAAACATCATAAATTTTATATTGTGATACGACTTTACATTGAATTATACATTATCCGTACTTCATCATTATCTCGAAAACATTCTCAAAACCTGCCAAAGGGTTAAAAACTAGAGCAGATATGTCTACGTAAAGCAGATATTTATACGACCTCGCAGGATTCTCTGCAAGGTCTAGCAAGGTCTTCTAAGGTCTCCGTCGACAGTATATCGACGCCGTCGGGCCGCGCGCGATGAGAACTTCGTTTACCCGCCGTTGCCGGGTGAATCGCGACGGCGCGTGAGCAGCGAGCGCGTGATTGGCTGCCGCGGCTTGTGTACGTGACGACCGCGCGGCGTCCGGGGTGAAGTGAGCCGCGTTGCGGCCGTGCCTGGCCGCGCCGAGCCGAAGTGAGCGGCGCGACCATTCGTACGCAACACGCGACGTTGGTTGTGCAGCGAGGACGCGCGCGCCAGTTTCTCTCACGCGAGTGCTGAAAACGCCGGTCGAAAACGATCGTCGCTCGCGATCGAATGCGCGCGCGCCTTGTCAAAATGTGATCGGACAATTTTCGCGCTTGTTTTTGTTCTCGAGACACCCGCTCTCTTTCTCTCCCTCCCTCCCTCTCTCTCTCTCTCTCTCTCTCTCACTCTTGACCGGCGACGAAAAGGAGCATCAGCAAGTCACGAGGATCGCGGTTCACAAGGATTCACGCCGATGATGAATATGACACTTCCGTAAGGAGTCGCAAGGTAATTCGCAGTTTGTTTATTGCAAAGACATATATATTTCGAAAGAGTCACTCTCCCGCATCCTCGAAAGAAGTAAAAGAATTCTGTAGCTCACTTTGCAACATCGCCCTGGTGAAAATAAAAATCGGAGCGTAAGTCAAACGTAAGGGGAGAGTGACGGAAGCGTAAATGAAACTTCTAGGAGGCGAAAATTGGAACAGCGGAATGCAAAGGAAGCGTTCGCCTCCCAGAAGTTTCGTTTACGCTTCCGTCACTCTCCCCTTACGTTCGACTTACGCTACGATTTTTATTTTCACCATCGGGGCGCCATTTTCTCTGATCTTCAAACCTTTTTTCTCGTGTTATTTCGATTTTTTTATTTTTTCTCATTCTTGCAATCAAGGCTATCAACTAGTCACTTCGCATTCACGCTCGGCATTTAGCAACGTCATAAAACGGCGTATGGGCATCTTAAAAAGGGAAATTGAAATCGTTCTCGAGCTGTCTCTGATTTTAAACACGAAGTAATTCAGGTTTTCATTAATAAAAATAAATTCCTCCGGGAGAAATGATTAGAAAGATCGATTATTAAACGGCCCTTGTTGTATCGGGAAGACTTCAACAACAGAAAGTAGACGCGATGAGATGATACATTATTTATAATAAAGAGATTATATGTATTGTCAAGCAGTTTAAACGCGCGCGGCGGAGCGCGCCGTTTCGAAGTTTTTACCGCGGTGAATTGCATGCATTCTTTGCGCACTCATAACGAACTCGGTCGCTCGCGTTTCTACAGGCTAAGAAAACATGTTAAAGACAATTACACGGATGAAGTCATTTAATAGTAAAAACATAATACATACATTTTGACGTATAAAATACCCAAACGTTGTCACGTTTTTAGCGAAATGGCATGATTGGATATTTTATCATTTTAAGGTGCTTATATTGCGTTTTTTTTTTGCAACCTTAGACATCTTCGTATATAACAGTCTTTATAAAAATATTAACAGTATTCTACGTCCTGTACTGTTTTCTTTAAACCGTGCTTGTTTTGAGCGCGTGAAATTCAGAAAGTACATATATAATGAAATGTAAAAACCGGTATCATTCTCAAATAACTTTGAGAAACCGATATTAGTAACATGTTCAAGTGCCGTTGAATATGCAGAATTCGAAAATTTCAACGAATTGGTTCTTGAAAGCGTGTACGTAATATTATGTCGCGTCAGTTAATTATCAGTGTGAAGTTGATTACTTTACTAGGAGGTAAGACAGAACTTGAAATACAGAATTGATATCCAAAACCTGCTATGGACAATCTAGAATTCTGTCTACAATTTAACATGCGATGCGACTATAATACAGAAAATTTTTGAAGGATTAAAACTTATACATGAAATATAATATAATTATAAATTTATAATTATATTATTTATGTTCATATTAATTTATATTACTTATATTATACGATTATATATAATAGTTTAGTCAAATATAAAATAGAACTTATATATAAAAAAAGTAAACTTCTATTACAAATTCTGGCGATTTAAAGATTCTACTTCCAAGCTGTGGTGTACTATTCATTTGGCAATTTTTTACGGCTAATTTTGTAAATTATATAACTATTATTTGTGTAAACTGATCTGTAGTCTTAATTAATACTTTCATCGTGTTAAGTCTAAATTCTTCGACATTGAAAAAATAATATAATTCTTAAATATATTTTTAATAATATATTTATAAAGTATCTTTTTTGCGATTTTTTAAATAAAGGAATATACTTTAGATTTCCATATATGCTGTTTATATTAGAATAATCGGAAAAGTTATAATATTTATCAAAAATATTGCGGTATCTTTCAATAAACAGAAAAACTCGGATCAGTACCCTGCAGCGTGCACAATTTCAGATTTGCATGGTCGATTCAAATGAATGAAACACAACGTGCAAACAACAAAGCCAAAGCCAAAGTGAGCCAGTCGATACCTGCACTCGAAACAATTTTTTCATTCACACGAAAGTCCCATCGGTTAGTTAACTGCGTATATTTCTCAAAGAAAAAAACTGTGTATAAAACTGGGACGATTCCTTTTTTTTTTTTAGCGAAACTGAATGTGATATTTCTATAAGTCAATTGTTTTTTAGAAAAAAAATTAACGTAGAAAGTAATACTGAATTAAATGAAAATTTATACAAAATACAAATATATATCCAGCAAGTTCAATTATTATTCAGTACTTTTATTGACGTTTCAGATAACATGCATGTCCAAAATTATTTTTATGATCAAAAGTCATATGATATTAGTTATATGACTTAATGATTAGTACAAAAATGTCTTAATAACGACATTAAAATGTTGTATATCTTGATTTTAGACGTGTGTCTTATCTGGAATACTCGAAGTATCCTAGATAAGACACACGACTTATAAGATGATGTAAAATTAATCTGTTCTTTTAATTTTATCTTATTTACGTCACGCGGATCCATCCGTCTTGCTTTCTTTGTTCATTAAAAAATGATAACTTTTTATGAGGTGTAAAAAGTGTGAAATTACCACCGCTTCCTGGAGAAGGAAGCTTTTTGGCGAAGCCGTATGCTCTGGGGAATTGCAACCATGGTCTCCACGGCCCATTGCATTGTCGCAATTCGTCGAGAAGCGGCGCGTTTTTCTCGTCATAACATTAATCTCACCGTGCTTCCGGGAGATAGCCTGGATCGCGGCCGCGCCGCGAGTACGTTGATCTACCGTGCTTAGAACGGCGCGAGCTTTTTGTTCATCGACAGGGCTGGTTTGACCCTTTTGATGCCAACGGCTCTCTAATCGTCGAGAGGAAAATACGGATTTCTCGCGAGATTCCACTCGACACACCGTCGACCGTTAATACATCGCGTTAACGGTGTCGGATTATCCATTAGGCGCATTAGGTATGCATTTTGCGTACGAATAGGCCTCGCGATGAATCTGCGCGATTTGAAAACCGATATATGAGAATGAAATCGGTGAGACGAAACTGTGAGTAGCGAGAAAATTTACAGCTGCGGCTTATATTATTTTTTGTTCCGCGAACGGATTTTTAATATCTGTAAAAACATACCATTATGCAATTATCTATCGATACATATATCTGCATTCTATAATTCACGGTAATTAAACTTCCGCCTCGTTAGAAGCAACACAAATTGTTTAGATGTCATTTCTTTAGATTGCAGTAGCTAGACATTACTAAAGGATTGATAGATATTTTTGCTTTAATAAATCAACCGATCAGAGGGATGTCCGCAATACGCGAAACTAAGGTATTGACCCTATAGTACAAAACCTACTTTATGTGACGCATATAAACTATGCGTTTGTCCAATGGACTACTTTTTTTTCAAGAGTATATCCCAGTATTAGAAATTTATAGTTAGCTATTGCGTATCAGAGAAACCCCTACAAAGCAGCATTTTTAAAAATACAACGCAATATTTTATCAGATGATTAATTATTCAGATATAACTTTAGTATTATATTCAGACACGACTATCAGCTCTCGCCTTGTTGGTTCACCAAGTGTTTGAACTCTCTTCGTCGTCGTGATGAAATTACCGATTGCGAAGTGCAAGAAAACTGAGCGCTTGAGGGGGCTTAACAACGTTACACTGTGTTTGCGAGGTGATATCAAGTCGATCGTCACACCATGATGATAGACTATAAGAGACTTCTGTGAGCTCAAAAGTGAATCAGATTCGGTCCTTTTATGTATAAAATCTGTTTTATTTAGATAATTGTTTGAGAATTTTTTTAAATAGTTTTCAAACAATTCGATTGATAAAGATACAATTATTAAAAAACTTCAAAGTGTTGATAAATCTTGAAAATTTTTCATGCCTTTTCGTAATAATGTTTAGAAAATCTATTCTCAGAAGTTGCAGTTTGAATATCTAAAACATTTTAAATTAAATAAAATCGATTTAACATAAAATCTGTGTATAAAATACAAAGTAAATTAAGATAATAACGTAAATTAATATTTTAATATTAAAAAAACATATTTGAAATATTTAAGACTCTCTCTCTCTCTCTTTTTTTCAAAACTTTAAAAAATCATTTAATTTTGAATAATATTCGAAAATATTCGATATTTTCCTTACATGTTCGAAGTGATTCAATATAGTTTATTATTCTCATCGTATATTAAATTTCGATAACTTAAATTTGTTAAAAATTGCAATGTACGTTAATTTTTTTATTCAATAAGCTTGAAAATAATTGCTGCCTTCTCTATCAATATACGTTACAACATCCTTATATTTTTCATTTTATTCCTAGCACAGTCCTCCAAGGAAGATCGTAAGGCGTCCGAAGGACATCCTGCGTTCTAAGGATATCCTTCGGATAAAGTGTGCTGAGTGGGTTTATTTTACAGTTTAATTTTATGTTATAACTGTAAATTAGTAACAACGTGGATATATAGAAATATCTTATTTTATTACGTATGTACACGCTGATGTTGGCACGTAATAGAGTACTCTACACAGAGCATCATCGTGTTAACGTTATTAAAACTTTGTAATCTTGCCATAAACATTGTTAACTTGCTCCCGTTGATCGTTGAATTATAGCTATAGACAATGTTTCCGTATGAAGTACCGTTGTAAGTTTCTGTTGCACACGTGTTATTATTAGCACTACACACGTCTATCAGCACTAGGTCCTTCATGTTGATTACAGATAGTTTCCTTTTGGATATCCGGCGTGTTTGCAATTATAAAACTGGCACGTATTGCGTACTACGCTCCTACGTATCAGGTATCAAACAAACTTCTATCGAACAATCGCCCCGTATTACGATATGTCGTCAAGGCTGAAACTTCGTTCGATGGTTTCTAAAGAACCTAGAACGCAAGATATCAATTAGTTATAGAATATGAAAAACCTCAATAACTTTGTTGTACATAATTCCATTGTTATATGTTTATGCGGTATCAGGGAGTATAGGGAGGACATCGACAGTTTTTATAAGCG